TCTTTATTTAGATTTTGTTGGTTCTTTGAGGAATTTGGTTGTGGGGTCTTGATTCTTGATACCGGGTTATTAGGTTCGTTTTGTTACGGAGCTTTAAATTTATTTTGATTCGTTTTTTTTTGTGGTAATTGTGGCTTTGTTTAAGGTCTGTTGGTTCTTTTGTGGAATTTGGTTGGGGGTTTTGATTCTTGATCTGATTGGTTGAGGTTTTGTGGAAGTTTGATGTAGTTGACACTGGGCCGGTTAGTTTTCATTTTCTTTTTGGTGAGATGCCCTTTGGAATTGAGACCAGCTCTGAAAGTTGGGTTTTATCTTTTTTTGACAATTACACTAGTTACATGAAAATCCTAACAGTCTGGCCTATTTATAGGATTGGTGCTAAGCGACACGGCTTCAGATCATTGTGAACCATTTCTGTTGAGCCATTACAATGGTCTGATATCTTGCCACGCATTACTGGTTGTGTCAAACAGTTTATATATAAGCCCATGCAAAAAGAGTTACACAAGTTATAATTTGAAGGAAACCTGTAGTATCTATATTCTCACTCACATCGGCAACATATCTTCCTTGATCTGGTCTTAAGATGTTGAAATAACTATGCCACTCTCTATAACTGTCACCCAATGCTCATGGAACTTCATGATAGGAGAGCTGAATGTAGCATCAGTCAACGAAGCGACCAAAGTGCTATGGTCTGTCAGTTTGAAACCGTCCATCATTGTGGCAACCATTTCCTTTGGTGTAGGCTTGAATAACCCCCTTCAAACCAGCTAGTCCTTTGACACTTCACCCATGCCAGATTTAGGTAAGCAGTGTAATTTTAAGACTCTATCACAAAATACTCGAGCAACTTTTTGAGTGGAAAAGGGCATATTTAAATCAGTCCGTCAACTACGATCATGATGACACTTTTTTCTCCATGTTTAGACCAATCCAATAATGAAATACATATACATGTCCTCCCTTATCTGGTGAGATATCTGCAGAGGTTGATTCCAGTCGAAGATACATCCTCGTGCCTTTGACAGGTATCACACTCCTCCACATGCCTTTGTACATCTCTTTTCATCTTTGTCCAATAATATGCCTTCCTCCTAAGTCTCTGTAAGGTTCTTATCTCTCAAAATGCCCAACTAAAGATGTCATGATACTCTCTTAGTATCGACTCCTTAAGTTTCTTTGAATTTGGCTGATGAGGATATTGTCCTTACAGTATTAATTATAACCCCATTACCTTAATGATATTTGCCGATACTGAATGAGGGCCCTTCTATTTTGTGAGTCTAACTCCTGATATTATAGTGAGTAGCCTTTAATTGATTAATTTCCCATGTCAATTTTATTGGACTCTTGGAATAAAAGGTAAAACACTATCATTATTAGAACTAGAGACATTTGTTCTCGTTTCTCTAGAGAGGCTATCTGCTGCACCGTTCATCCTCCCTGGTTTAACTTTCATCCTCCCTGGTTTAACTTCACTTTGTAATCAAACCCATTGATCTTGGCCAACCATCTACTTAGTAATACCAGTGTGCACCTTGCTCACCATATGCTTTAGGCTTTGAAGATTTGTCTTAATGATAAACGATCTCTCAATCATACATTATGCCACTTTCTGGTTAACGAAATGATTACCAGTAGCTCCCAGTCATTTGTATATTTTGTCAAGTATCTATTTATTGCAAGTTCTCAAACAAAAAATCACTGCTAGCCTTGGGTGTGAAAAAATAACAACTAAATGGTTAGTGTTTGAGAATTGTGGGGAGATTATAATAACTTGTTTTTTTAGTATGCCTGAGTATAAATCCTAGGGCAATAACGCTTAACGTTGGAACCCCACAGGCAGGGAAATTAATCACCAAGTTTCTTTAAAAAAAACGATCATCCCCCAAATGCAACAAGTTGCTAAACCTGGTTCCAAGTTTTTCTTTTTTAAGAGAAATAAATTAGTGATCATGAGTACATGTAACTTCTTTTGTTCGAAATATAATTAATGCATTTGATGTCTGATCTTTGTATTGTCTATTGGATAATTGTATGTACTATGTACAACTGAATGGATAAAGCTAGCAACTAATGTATTAAGCTAATTACATTCAGATCATACAATTTGGTTTAGTGGTCTACTATGGTTTAATGTGTTAATAAATTTTTTTGTAAACATATGATTGTATGATATTGGTGACGGTGTTAATATATTTGAATAATTTTAATCATTAGAAATTTTTGGAGACATTTGGGATAATCATGAGTCATGTTTGAATCTTCAATCAATATTTGGTAGGTTATGACTTTATGCACTTTTGCAGTGTCATTTTCCATTTATAATTTACCTTATATATGTTAAGTTGTAATGCAATTTATCTTAGCATTTTTATATATTTTGCTCAGGTATCATTTATTAATTTGATTATGTTTTGTGATGGAAACATGTTCAACTAGAAGTTTGTACTTGATTTGTCTAAAAATAATCATGTCCTTTTATAGTATTCAGCACATTTGGGATAATCATGAGTCATGTTTGAATCTTCAATCAATATTTGGTAGGTTATGACTTTATGCACTTTTGCAGTGTCATTTTCCATTTATAATTTACCTTATATATGTTAAGTTGTAATGCAATTTATCTTAGCATTTTTATATATTTTGCTCAGGTATCATTTATTAATTTGATTATGTTTTGTGATGGAAACATGTTCAACTAGAAGTTTGTACTTGATTTGTCTAAAAATAATCATGTCCTTTTATAGTATTCAGCACATTTGGGATAATCATGAGTCATGTTTGAATCTTCAATCAATATTTGGTAGGTTATGACTTTATGCACTTTTGCAGTGTCATTTTCCATTTATAATTTACCTTATATATGTTAAGTTGTAATGCAATTTATCTTAGCATTTTTATATATTTTGCTCAGGTATCATTTATTAATTTGATTATGTTTTGTGATGGAAACATGTTCAACTAGAAGTTTGTACTTGATTTGTCTAAAAATAATCATGTCCTTTTATAGTATTCAGCACATTTGGGATAATCATGAGTCATGTTTGAATCTTCAATCAATATTTGGTAGGTTATGACTTTATGCACTTTTGCAGTGTCATTTTCCATTTATAATTTACCTTATATATGTTAAGTTGTAATGCAATTTATCTTAGCATTTTTATATATTTTGCTCAGGTAATCCAAGCTTTCGCTCCAGTGAATCTGGATTCGCTCTAGTGAATCTGGATTCGCTCCAGTGAATCTGGATTCGCTCCAGTGAATCTGGATTCGCTCCAGTGAATCTGGATTCGCTCCAGGGAATCTGGATTCGCTCCAGGGAATCTGGATTCGCTCCAGTGAATCTGGATTCGCTCCAGTGAATCTGGATTCGCTCCAGTGAATCTGGATTCGCTCCAGTGAATCTGGATTCGCTCCAGTGAATCTGGATTCGCTCCAGTGAATCTGGATTCGCTCCAGTGAATCTGGATTCGCTCCAGTGAATCTGGATTCGCTCCAGTGAATCTGGATTCGCTCCAGTGAATCTGGATTATATTGAAGAATAAGAAACTTATGGTAAAAAACAAGCTATAAATTTTTAAACAAAAAGAATAAGAAACTTATGGTAGAAAACAAGCTATAAAATTTTAAACCATGAAAAGATTTCACATTTTACAGCAAAAAATTACGATTTTTATGGTAAAAAAAAACACCTCACATACTGAATCTGGATTCACTACAGTGAATCTAGATTCACTTATGCGTGTCTTCGTTTTTCAACTGGTTTCTTCAAAAATCAAAAAACTTTTCAGACTAAAAGGTGAAATATTTCACCTTTTACAACAAAAAACTATGATCTTTAAGATTAAAACTAAAACTTTTAAACGAAAAATCAAACAAATTTCATAAACTTACCATTAAAGCGTCAAAATAATTTAACAGCCCACTGAATCATGAAGACGAAGGTCGAAGAAGACCGTGAAGACGAAGCGTCAAAATAATTTCATAAACCATGAAGACGAAGGTTGAAGAAGACCGTGGATAAGGAGATGTTGAAGACAGAGAGAGTTGTTGTAATTTTGGAGAGAGAGAGAGAGAGAGTTGCATGGGGAAATGGAGAACTCAATAGAGAAGCATTAATGACCTCTCTTTAGTGGGCTGCTTATTTTACCTAATTACCCTTATGCAGCTTTAATCTCAGCCATTGGATGAATCTAGATCCAATGGAGAGGATTGGTTTTTAGTTTTTAGGATAGTGAGGTTTGTATTTGAACCTCTCCCTATATATATATATTGCTATTTTCATTGCTATCGAATCTATTACAACTTTAGTCATTACAATAAACTCGAAGAAAATAAAAAGTTGATCTTTTTATAAGATCTCCTTGCACAATGAAAATAAAACAAGTTTACAACTTTATCAAAACAAACGCAGGGAGATTTTTACTCTAAGAATTTTAAACCCATGTACTATAAAATGCTTCTTAAACCCAAAAATACAAAGAGCGCTTATTTTTAAACCCAAATCTTCATAATAAGTTTAAGTATACATTATATACATATTAAAAGCTCAATATCCTCATATTACCCTCTTCTTCATTCTCTGTTCAACTCTTTGCTCCATTCCATGTAATTTTTCACTATCCCATTAATTATCGATCTCCTCCTCTACTCCCCAACTTACCCCTTGAATCCATTTCCTTCTTCTGATTGAGCTTTATGTTCTTTCTCCTACCACTCCTCCACTTCCTCCACAAAAGACTTCACCTTGAAGCTTGCACACGACATCAAGTCCACCAGGTTTTCCTCCACTCTTTGGCTAACAAGCTCAAACACTCCAAGCTCGTCCTCGACTACCGACTGCTCCGACCAACTCCTTTCCCATCCTCTATCTTGACTTTAATCGTTCAACGAGGTCCTCGCTTAAAGATCAGCTTCACCACATTTGCCTACAGTCACAAGATTACTTTTATGTTAGATTGAATTAGACTTTGAATTTAAGGCTTGGAATGCGAAAATGTACAGACAAAGTTTTTTGTATATTGTGTGCTTGATAAAATGCTTCAAAAAGATTTGTAGTTGATTTGTAATATTTAAAAGGATTATGTGTATTAAATAGAATTTATTTGATGCATATTACATGTTTGACGAAATGCTTTAAGAAGTTTTTTGGTCGACTTGTATCATTTATAAAGATTATATAGCAAGTCGTCAATCGCCAATGGAGTTTATGAATGATATAGAACTCATAATGAGTTATATGTTATTCTGAAAGGGCTATAACCCTTTATGATATATTATAGCTCTTATGATATATTGTAGCTCCTTCTATGAGAATTATAGCTCTTTAATAACAAATGTAGCTCTTTATGGACAAAATATTAGCTTTTTATGAGAAATGTATAGCTGTTTATGTGGAAAATAAAGAGCTATACTTTCCAAAAATCGAAAAACTGAGAGTGAACCTCTTGTCGATATGAATAATTGATTAAACAACAGATTGTATATATCACCACACGTTTACATTGCTCAGAGAAAAACTGATTTGATTTATTTCACTAAGTTTTAGAATTTTTAGAGACCATAAAGAGCTATCTTTATCAGTAAAAAGCTGTCATAAAGAGCTATATTTTGACATAAAAAGTTATACTTTCATGATAAAGTGCTACACTTTACTATAAAGAGCTAAACTTTTCCAAAAAATAAAAAAAAATAAAGAGTGGACTTCTCGTCGACATGAATAATTGATTAAATAACACATTGTATACATCATCACATGTTACATCACTCAGAAAAAACTAATTTGATTTATTCCACTAAGTTTCAGAATTTTCAGAGGCCATAAAGAGATATATTTTATCAGTAAAGAGCTATACTTCGGCTATAAAGAGCTATACTTTAGTATAAAGAGATGTATTTTAATGATAAGGTGCTACACTTTAGTATAAAGAGTTATACTTTTCTAAAAACTAAAAAATTGAGAGTGGACATCTCGTCGACATAAATAATTGATCAAACAACACATCATCACACGTTTACATTGCTAAAAAAAATTGATTTGATTTATTCCACTAAGTTTTAGAATTTTCAGAGCCGACAAAGCTATTCTTTATCAGTAAAGAGCTATACTACTGTCATAAAGAGCTATACTTTGACATAAACAACTATATTTTTATGATAAGGTTTTACACTTTAGTATAAAGAGCTATACTTTTTTAAAAAACTAAAAAATTAAGAGTGGACCCCTCGTCGACATGAATAATTGATCAAACAATACATTGTATACATCATCACACGTTTACATTGCTCAAAAAAAACTGATTTGATTTTTTTACTAAGTTTGAGAATTTTCAGAGGCCATAAAGAGCTATACTTTATCAATAAAGAGCTATACAACGGTTATAAAGAGCTTTATTTTTATATAAAGAGCTATACTGTGACGCCCCTGGGTTCACACAAGGTTGCAGTCCGAGGTGAAACCAGAAATGTCAAACATTTGGTATCAGAGCCAAGCCAACCGGAATTGTGAGAGCTAAGTGCTATGCGGTGTAAAGTGCTACGTCGAGAGGGCGGGAGACACCTCTTGAGGCCGTAGGAGTCACCTCTAGAATCTCACACGGATGGTACGGTCTTGGATGATATGATTTGGCGCAACAAGGACGTTGCGAGTTTAAGTGGGGGAGTTTGTAATACCCCAACCCTTGAGAGGGTGATGTGATGTGATTAGTATTAATAGATTTGATTGGAATACTCATACCACCAAGATGCATCTTGTTTTTAAACTGTGACGCCCCTGGGTTCACACAAGGTTGCAGTCCGAGGTGAAACCAGAAATGTCAAACCTTTGGTATCAGAGCCAAGCCAACCGGAATTGTGAGAACTAAGTGCTATGCGGCGCAAAGTGCTACGTCGAGAGGGCGGGAGACACCTCTTGAGGCCGTAGGAGCCACCTCTAGAATCTCACACGGATGGTACGGTCTTGGATGATATGGTTTGGCACAACGAGGACGTTGTGAGTTTAAGTGGGGGAGTATGTAATACCCCAACCCTTGAGAGGGTGATGTGATTAGATTTGATAGATTTGATTGGAATACTCATACCACCAAGATGCATCTTCTTTTCGGAAATCTAACTCTTAGAAACTCCAAAGTTAAGCGTGCTTGGCCTGGAGAAATTCTAGGATGGGTGACCCCCTCAAAGTTAAGCGTGCTTGGCCTGGAGAAATTCTAGGATGGGTGACCCCCTGGGAAGTTTTCCAGAGAGCGCGTGAGTGAGGACAAAACGTGCTGAAAAGACATGTGGTGGTTTGTGAGGCCAGTCCATCAGATCTAGTAGCGTACCGACTCCGGGATTCCGGGGCGGGGCGTTACGTATACTCTCATGATAAGGTGCTACACTTTTGTGTAAAGAGCTATACTTTTTTAAAAACTGAAAAATTAAGAGTGGACCTCTCATCGAAATGAATAATTGATCAAACAACGCATTGTATATATCATCACACATTTACATTATTCAGAAAAAACTGATTTGATTTATTTCACGAAGTTTCAGAATTTTCAGAGGCCATAAAGAGATATATTTTATTAGTAAAGAGCTATACGCTAGCATAAAGAGCTATACTTTCATGATAAGGTGCTACACTTTAGTATAAAGATCTATATTTTTCTAAAAACTAAAAAATTAAGAGTGGACCTCTCGTTGACATGAATAATTGATCAAACAACACATTGTATACATCATCACACGTTTACATTGCTTAGAAAAATCTGATTTGATTTATTGCACTAAGTTTCAGAATTTTTAGCGAGCTATACTTTATCAATAAAGACCTATACTACGGTTAGGGGTGTTAAATGAGCGGGTTTGGGTATTAAATGGGCGGGCCATAAATGAGTGGACACGTTTTGCTCATTTACCCATTTATGGCCTATTTGATATTTTCTAAATGGGTGAGTTTTTGCCCACCCATTTAATAAACGGGCCACCCATTTACCCATTTAACGATAGTAACTATATATATAATACTTTTGGGATGTTTTTTGTAAACTTATTGGGGGCTTTTTATAAACTATTAGGGGCTTTTTGCAAAAATTTAGAGGCTTTTTGTAAACTTTTTAGAGGGTTTTTGCAAACATTTTGGGGGCTCTTTGAAAATTTTTTGGGGTCCTTTTGTAAACTATTTGAGTATTTTTTGCAAACTTTTTTTTATTTG